GTTGCAGAAAATTAGAGGTGCGATTACTTCGTAATAATGACGGACATCAGAACTAGCAAAATATTCGAAGTTGCAACGGTCACTCAACAAAACGTCACCACTTCACTTGAATAATTTAGAGGCATATATCAAGTGCCGAATGCAAGCCAGCCAGAGCTAGTTTTAAAACACTCAGCGCCACTAATTACTGCGGCAGTTGCTTCATCCTTCTCGGATGCGAAGGCTAACGTTGCTTTTTCAAGGCAAGGACAGTGATCCGGATTTACGCTTAGGCTGATCTTCTAGTTTTTCACAATTCCTTTTCTTTCTCTCTCTCTCTACAGAAACAAGGTGGTACTCAGAAAGTGCAGTAAAAAGTAGAAATCGTTATTTATAGTTCACTGTTTCTGCACCTTGAAAGAATAGAGCATGGGTGAATTAACACAAGGAAGCGGTGCACTTGATGACGCATTTAAATTTTTTTACGTGTTTAAATTTTGTAGGCGCAAATATACTCGAAAACAAGAATAGTTCGAGAATGCTGGCTGAGTCTATTTGTATACTATGATGACCTCTAAATTAGTAATTCGATTGACACATACTCAAAACATTACGTAATGATTGTATATTAAAAATCATGTTTTACTTGTTCAAGCAAAAAGACATTGATTTTAACTGTAATCCAGCACCTTGATTCAGAATATTGTCTTCATACCTGTTCCATAAATTTATGCGACAAGAGTTAAACTTACATTGAGGAAAAAAGGAGGTGCATTAAAAACAAAAGTGCCTTACGCCAGACTAGTGATGGGTTCAGGCGTTCATGGCAGATTGTTGGTGAAAAAAAAACTAGCCGATCGTGATGTCGGGCACGTTATTAGTGAAACCAGTTTAATGAGGTCAGAAAGCACTAACAAATGAAAAAAATTGCGAATTCAGCCCAGTCTGCGTTTCATCATTCATCGTGTAGTATTCATTTAGCGAGTTGGCTTGAGTCGGAATATATTCATATTATAACCGATTAACTACATGTACTTACACTGAAAGCTTACATTCATTACACAAATAAGCTTCCGAACGCAAAACGAAAATGTTATGATCATGCCTTGTCGACAAAGATTAAAGAGGCATAGCAGACAAATAACAGATTTTTTTCACGTCTTGGCTTTTAAGAACTTTGCTTTTACAAACATAATGTAGCGTCTACCTGCTGGACAAACATTTCTGTATTCCAGACCATTATGACATCTAAGGCAATAAACATGTCAATTATCTTCTAGAAGTACTCATGTAAATAAAGGTCAAGACACCATTGCACTACTGACAACCAACGCAGTAGCAAATATAAGTTCTCTCGTGCGCGATTTCGGATATTTGAAGTAGAATAAGCCTGGTTTTCTGCATACTTGCAAGGAACGCCTGGACTCATCACTTGAACTCTCATTTCTACTATCCCTATCCAAAACAACCATTCTTTTCACCTGTAGCTTGAAGCGTCATTCCCGAGCAGTTTTTTTTTTGCCTAATTAGATTGGCAGACATTGTTGCTTGTGATCACTGTGGCAGTGATGACACTTCCCCTGTTACTGACCTCCCTATTGCTCTCAAGGACAACCCATCTCAACAACGTTAGCACTCCTCGATGACGAGCCGCCGCTTTTAGATCATTTAATCTTGGAATGCGGTATCATTTCAGCTACTAACCAGAAAGCAAGGAAAGCGCTGCTGAAGTTTCTGCAATCAGTCGGCCTCGTAGCTTTCTCTATCTCCTCGCTGCTTTCCCACTACAATGTGGAAAATTGGATATTTCATTTGCAGTTAATGTTCATGCCTTCTGCTTAACCTTTCTCTCTTTATCTTTATCTTATCTTTTTATATTATCTTATATTTTATATTTATCTTATCCTATAACTTATCGTATCTTATATTTTTATCTTATCTCTTTATCTTTATCTTTATCTTTAGAGGCAACCTCTAAGATCTGGCGGGTGGTACGAAGTTTGCAGACAACTCCCCAACAACGTGAACCATTTCAAGCTGTTGTTCTACATCAGGGGCGGCCAGAAGTTGAGATAGCCAGTGTCTACTGTAGCCTCATCGGGGACACCACTGATGGTCTCGTCACTAATGAGCCTTTTACTACCATTGCGCCTCCATTGTCTGACAAGCGCCTTGATGTACGTTTTACAACGCATGAGCTTGACGCTACGATTTCTGCCTCCCGCCGATCATCGGCACCAGGACCTGACGTAATCACGTATGCTGCACTCAACCATCTTGATTCAAAAGCACGACGCATCCTGTTATCTCATTTTAACACCTCATGGGAGTCAGGAGAAGTCCCAGCTAATTGGAAATCCAGTCGCATTATTGCATTGCTTAAGCCAGGGAAGTCTCCTTATGCACTTTCCTCTTACAGACCAATCGCCTTAGCCAGCTGCGTCGGGAAAGTAATGAAAAGAATGGTACTGTCAAGATTAGAGTGGCTTCTAAAGAGCAACAACTTCTTTACTGCATTTATGAACGGCTTCAAAAGAGGCCAATCTGCCATTGATGGTGTGGTCGACTTGATCACCAGCGTTGAAGAGGAAAGAAGCTGACGCAGACTAGTGGCGGCGGTCTTCCTATACATTAAGGGTGCCTTCGATAATGTGCTGCATTTTGCGATCCTTGAGGCACTGGAAGATTTCGACATCAGTGGGCGACTGTACGCTTAAATTTTTAGCGACCTTAGGGACCGCATCATTTACATGACGACAAATAATGGAGACACCGATTGATATAAGGTTCATTGAGGTGTTCCCCAAGGAGGAGTTCTCAGCCCGATCCTATTCAATGTCACAATGATCGGCCTAGCAGCAGAACTTCTCAGCACGGTGAAGATCAGTGCATACGCTGATGACATATGCATATGGGCATCCGGAACTACTCGTCCGCAATTGCTAGCTCGACTACAGCGTGCAGTGACGATCACATACAAATATCTACGACGTCAGGGGCTCTCTCTTTCAATCGACAAATGCACAGTGCTTGCGTTCACGCGCAAGCATATGTCGCAATACCCGATATTTATTAATGGGACAGCAGCGATACCTGCTGTAACGCACCACAAGTTCCTTGGGGTTGTCGTACACAGAGATCTATAGTGGACGAGGCATGTCGCAGTACTTAAATCTAAATTGAAGAGCTTTGCTCTCGTTCTTCGCCACGTAGCAGGAGCAAGATGGGGCCCATCAGAATCATCGCTACTTCAATTGTACAAAGCTCTATTTGTGGCATACATTCGATACAGCATGCTGCTGCTCTCCAATATGAGACCTAGTTGTGTGAAGACGCTCAAGAGTGTTCAAGCTCAATGCTTGCGAAGATGCTTGGGTCTACCGCGCTCTACTTCAACAAATGGGACAATCGCAGATGCTCGGGCATGTCCCATCAGTGTATACATGCTCTGCGAGCCACTTAGAATTCACCTCCGATTGCTGAGCTGACACAGACAGCACCCACTCTCAGTACTACCCGCCACTCACCCAGATTGCAGTTTTTCAAGAGTGATATCGCAGCATGAGAATATTATACCATAAGGGTTTTCCCCGCCAAATGCCCCTGCAGTGCTTCCATGGTTCCTGCCTAAACCACCTGTTTTTTTACGATACCTGTAATTACGAAGAAGCCGCTCATTTCTTCCGTTGGCCTTGGACAACTGACCCTATATCACATTTATACAACGTACAGTGATTCTCTGCACGTGTACACCGACGGATCGATCACGCTAAACACCTCCGCCTTAGCCTTTGTCATCCCAGAAATGGATGTCGCTCGACGATTCAAAGTGGACCATAAAACCACATCAACTGCCGCAGAGCTTGTCGCTATCCGGGAGACAATAAGATTTATTTTCGGAGAGCGACCTCGAGCCTGGACGATTTTCTGTGATGCCAAACCCGCTCTGCAAACCAATAATTGCATCATGAAGCAAGGTCCATATTACAGCTTGGCAATAGAAATCACAGAACTTATTCATGTTGCTTCAACAAATGGCCATCTTATCACTTTCCAGTGGATTCCCGCTCATTGCGGCGTGATGGGAAACGAAGAGGCAGACGCTGAAGCTAAAAATGCCTTAAGCAGTGCCCCTGAAGTACGCATTGCGTTTTCACGAGCTGACACGACCGCCCTGCTTCGCTGCGTGATGCGCAGCTACACACTTCAGCACTGGACCAAACCGGAACGGCGACACCAGCGACTTCACAAATGTGACCCGGAAATGAGATTCCGCATGCCCCCTAAATTGAAACGGCAACTCACAAGTATGATCCACCGCATTCGTCTTGGTGTGGCGTACACCAGACGTTACGCACATATCATCGGTCGCAGTGACACCGGTCCTAATTGCGAACACTGTGATGTGCCAGAAACACTTGAGCACATATTTTGTGTCTGCCCAGCGTACGCACGTGAACGACAAACACTGATTTCTTCTACTGAGCTATATCGCAGTAGGTCATTAACTGATGAGACCGTGTTGGTCCCTTGGCCAGACACAAACAGTGCAACTGCGGTCACAAAAGCAGTTATAACCTTTTTGGAAACAACTGGACTATATGCGCGGCTATAAAATGTGTCTCAGCTAGAAAGAACACTACATATTCACCTATCTATCTCACCATCCTCATCCATTAATCTTTTTCCCCTTTCCCTTCCCCCAGTGCAGAGTAGCAGGCTAGAGCAAGCTATCGCTCAGGCCGACCTCTGTGCCTTTCTGTAAATAAACTTATCTCTCTCTCTTCTCTCTTTATATATGAAGGAGACATGTAAAAATGAATGGGACTTACAGCTCGCGTTTCTCAGCGTTCACCGAAATGGCAGTAGATGATGAAATCGCCATGCTGCAATCACATGATGATATATCGTCCCCAACATATTTCCCTCACACCTTAAGACTGTCTCCTCCTTTCTCCACCCCATTTCTCAGCCATAGAAGAAATGTCGCGCTGACAGCGTTCTGTTTTGGTGTACCGCAGCCACTTCTCTGCTGGGTGGCCTGAACCCCGAGTTGTACCGCGTGACAGCGGAAAACGGCGCCGACGACGGTGAAGAGCGCAGCTTCCCCGAGAGCCACCGTGGACGCATTTGGTTTTCGCTCCAGTACGAGGATCCCCGCGAGAGCCTCGAGCTGCGTGTGATCAAGGCACGCAACCTGCCCTCGCGCGTCTGCGGATCGGTCAACTGCTGCGACCCTTTCGTCAGGTGAGTGGTTCCGCTATAGCACCATGATCGCCGCAAAAGGCCAAGTGCGTTGAACTACACAATACAATCTGTCATTTTTGAATGCGAAGCATTTCTCAGCAAACTTCGGTGACATTGAACGTGTCTATCTATCTATCTATCTATCTATCTATCTATCTATCTATCTATCTATCTATCTATCTATCTATCTATCTATCTATCTATCTATCTATCTATCTATCTATCTATCTATCTATCTATCTATCTATCTGTCTGTCTGTCTGTCTGTCTGTCTGTCTGTCTGTCTGTCTGTCTGTCTGTCTATCTATCTATCTATCTATCTATCTATCTATCTATCTATCTATCTATCTATCTATCTATCTATCTGTCTATCTGTCTGTCTGTCTGTCTGTCTGTCTATCTATCTATCTATCTATCTATCTATCTATCTATCTATCTATCTATCTATCTATCTATCTATCTATCTATCTATCTATCTATCTATCTATCTATCTACCTGTCTGTCTGTCTGTCTATCTATCTATCTATCTATCTATCTATCTATCTATCTATCTATCTATCTATCTATCTATCTATCTATCTATCTATCTCTATCTATCTATCTATCTATCTCTCTATCTATCTATCTATCCATCTATCTATCTATCTATCTATCTATCTATCTATCTATCTATCTATCTATCTATCTATCTATCTATCTATCTAGCCGCCTACGACTTTTAGCTCTCCTGGCCGTTTGGATAATGGTATCAATACCATTATCAATATCTATCTATCTATCTATCTATCTATCTATCTATCTATCTATCTATCTATCTATCTATCTATCTATCTATCTATCTATCTATCTATCTATCTATCTAGCCACCTACGACTTTTAGCTCTCCTGGCCGTTTGAATAACGGTATCAATACCAAAATTGGTATGGCATAACATGACGGTATGATGGGCATAAGTGAATAGTCATAACATAAAAATTGTGACATGTATGTCATTAATGTCATGATTTACATTTCATGGTCTTGCTGCTCTTGCGATGGTTTAGTTCACATGACATGTTGCAGAACTGTTTTGGTATCGCACGACTGCATGGCGAACGCAAGCGAGAGATCATAACATGATAATCATCATATGCGTGTCATATAACAACATGACTACATCTCACACTCATGATGGGCTCGCGGCGGTTTCGCTAGCTTCACATATACCAAATTTGGTATTACGTCACGTGAATGTATGACGAAGGTATGTGACTGGTGCAAACATGATACTCATGACATGCTTGTCTTGTAAAAGATGACTACGTGCTATGGTCATAGTGCTCTTGCGGCTGTTTTGCTAGCTCCACATATACCAAATGTGGTATCACGTGACGTGAATAGACGACGAAGGTAAATGACACATCGAAGCATGATAATTATGACACGGAAGTCATGTAGAGCATAATTTACGTCCATTTCGTAACGTTGTGCTGATTGTAATGTGACATATCAACTTTCCTCATTCGTGCTTCGCATATAATTGTTTCACACTTTACGTGGGATCTGCCAAATTTTTTCCTCTCGCATGCTTCGCTTATTTCACTGTCCTTCTCGGTGGAGCGATGGTTACGGTGCTCGGCTGCTGACCTGAAGGTCGTGGTTTCGAGCCCAGCCATGGCGGTCGCATTTTCGTGGAGAGTGAATGGTAGAGGCCCGTGTGTTGTGCGATGTCAGTGCATGTTCAGAACACTAGATAGACATATACTACGGTGTCTGTCATGATCATAATTTTGAGACGGTAAAACGCCAATAATAATAAATAATAAAGTTATTATTATTATTATTATTATTATTATTATTATTATTATTATTATTATTATTATTATTATTATTATTATTATTATTATTATTATTATTATTATTATTATTATTATTATTATTATTATTATTATTATTATTATTATTGGTGAAGTCACCTATGCTGAGGCGTGGGGGCACGTATACCTGCTGCGTTCTGAAGCTCACACAAGCGAGTGTTTGTCGCCAGATAAAAAGAATACGTCTATCTAGATATTCAGCCTCTCGGCACCGCAAAGTACCCGATGCGGTGGCGGTGAGTTAGTGATTTCCATGCTTTCACTCGTTCCTGTGTGCTAGCGATCTTTTGTACTTATTCGTTTATTGGTTGGTCCTTCTTCACTTCGCCAGACTGCCAGCGTGGTGTTGGCGAAAGAAACAGCTTGCTAAAGACATATTTAGTGCAATAAATTAGCAGGAAAAAGAAAAATGCTCGACACAATTGAACGTCATACGAGATATTCTTAGCGGATTAGCACAGTAACAATTTATGTATAGAAAGCAGTCAAATATGCTGCATCATACAGCCGGCTTCCGGTGGTTTGGCTGAAGGAGTCTTTGCCATCTCAATATACGATGTTTGTATCTAGACATTTCTAGAACGGACATTTAGGGAGAAACGAATAAAAGAAATATTCTATATTTAGTAGTAGATGTAGTCTCTGAAGTATCTGTCTCAGTGATGATGATGATGATGATTATGATGATTATGTGATGATGATGATGATGATGATTTCCTAAATGCATGGCCCATACCCACTCGCAGGGATTAGCTAGAAATGAGTAATTGAATTTTATAGTTTTAGATTTATTTATAATTAATTAGATTTGCGATTATTATGCCATCCACTTTATCTACTTATGTTGGTGACTTCCAATAGATTTTTTTCTTTTGCGTGGTGACACGCGGAAGGTATTCTCTCTAAGCACTATTTATATATGAATAAATTAAGATAGGACATGACAAGCTGTCAGTCAATGATTTTTTTATTATTCATACTGTAGCATGAAAACTAACTGTTACGCACCACAAAGTAACACAAGCAGTTTTGTGTTGCTTCTTTCACATCTACACTTATCACTTGCACATTCAAAAACGGGTCAGAAATGATTGTGATACAATTTATTTTTTCAAGCTAGAGCATCTTGTAAAATTTTGTCGTCCGCTTCAAATTAACTACATACCGTGCGTCGTTAAACTCGGATAGCTGGATTGGGATTTCGATCGTCAGTGAAATTTTGGTATGTCAATTTACCTTTAGTCGTTGAAATCTTTGGCTGAATACTCTTGTTTCCTAAGTCGTCAGTGCAATTGTTTCTTTATTGCAGTGGTTATATCAAAGTGACACAGTAGTAGAAAGAAGGGCTTAAAGCTGTGGCAGAGTGTAAACAAATCGAGCGGTAGTTATGAGAAATGGTCCCACACGCTACAAAAGCGACATCACTGTCATTGGGTCACGCACCGAAGGAAAAAATGCCGTGGAAACAAACATACAGATAACATATGCTGACGGCATATCGAACGCTACAGTCAGCGGAAAAAAAGCGGCGCATGGCTGAGCTGTGTGTGCGATGTGCCGTACACGGCGATGTCGTTCCTCAACGCAACGTTCGCATGGCATGCATGCTTGACACGTATATCGACAACAAAGTGGTACATGTTGGACTGAGATATGTCAGCTGTTTTTTTTTCCCCTTTCTTTCTTTCTCACAAGAAGCGCACCGATAGTAACTACACTGAGTTGACACCGGAGACCCCCTTCTAGTTCACCTCAAGCCAGGATGTAATATGCGAAGAAAAAAAAGATTGATGTAGACCATTTGTGTGTCGTTAGTTTCGTCCATGACGTTAGCGTATCACTCGGGGTTGCTTTTACGTCATATTGAATTCCTTAAATATTCAACAGCAGACATGCGTTCGTGTTCCGTCGTGGGATCAATGAAAAATCAATGGAAAACCAGATACTCTTGAGACGCACACGATAAAAAACCTGGTGCCGAATCCCGGCTGCGGCGGCTGCATTTCCGATGGAGGCGGAAATGTTGTAGGCCCGTGTGCTCAGATTTGGGTGCACGTAAAGAACCCCGGGTGGTCAAAATTTCCGGAGCCCTCCACTACGGCGTCTCTCATAATCATATGGTGGTTTTGGGACGTTAAACCCCACATATCAAATCAGAAAACCTGGTGCAATTAACGTATAAGCTTGAGTCGGAGTAGTAGACTAGCTTGTGAGAAGCCTGAGTCTACGAATGTTACAGGCACTTATCCCACACAATGAATACGAGAAAGCGCCCTGCTTCATGGACAGGCAAGCGGCTGGCGCGGCATGGTATTCGATGGTGCTATAGGTCTCTTTTATATCGATCGATAAAAACAAGGAGTTTCGGAGCTGTCATATTAGAACAGCGTGTCTACGTACGTGTGCTGAATTCACCAAGCATCTCACGTCCTTCAAAGTCCTATTTCGCTGTGCTTTTTTTTTCTCCCCAGGGTGTCTCGCTGCGAGGATTTCATCTCTAGTTAGCTTTTCCATGCAGGACAGTAAGCGTACTCTGCGAATTATGCTGTCTAAATACTGAAACACAGACTTCTGCACCACAGCATTGTTTGTTGCGTCATTTACGTGCATGTTCGCATTACGTTATATTTTTACAGGTGTACACAACACCAATTAACAAGCTGCTTAGAGCAGCTTCCAGTGCCGAAAATCAGCACCATTGTTAGCCATATTCTGGGCCCTGCAACTCATTGCCGTAGATACGTGCACACAACTACTCGTGAATGAATTATATGCTTCCTACTGCACCACGTGACACAAATGGCTAACAAGAAGTAAAATGTTGCGTACATGTACGCATGCCTAGCTACTCATATTTTTGCCACGATGCTCACAGCGCATCGCTTCCCGCGGCATTCTAGCGGGACGTTACGCATCCCCACCCGCAGATGCTCGGCACACCGCCAATGAGCCGGAGTTATATGGAACCACTTGCTGACCTCTATCACATCATTTACACATTGACGTAAGCAAGCTCGCAGCAGATTTACATCGGATACAAAGCAACACAAGAGGACCTCAATGCAGCTGCTTTAATAGAGGATGAGTATATTGGAAACAACAAATAAAAATGCTTGTTTAGTAAAGTAATTCAGTGCTAACC